TTTTCCCTTCCTGCTATCTTCTTCTTCTTTTTTTTTTTTAACATATAATGTATTATTTGCTTCAGAGGTACAGGTCTGTGATTCAACAGTCTTACACAATTCACAGTGCTCACCACAGCACATACCCTCCCCAATGTCTATCACTCAGCCACCCCATCCCACCCACCCCCCCACCACCCCAGGAACAGGCTTTTTTTAAAGATTTATTTATCTATTTGAAAGAGAGAGCAAGCAGGGGTGGTGGAGAGGCAGAGGGAGAGAGTCCCTAAGCAGAATCCCCGCTGAGCACAGAGCCCAACCAGGGGCTCAATCCCAGGACTCCAAGGTCATGATCTGAGCTGAAAAAGAGCCAGATGCTAAACTTACTGAGCTACCCAGGTGCCCCTATAATCAAGCTTTTAGTTAGTTTTTCAATACATAGTGATATTTCAGAATGATACTTTCCCAAAAGTGTATAATGTCATGTAGTAAAAGTATTAAAAATATTTAGCTTCCATTTTTGTTTCTGGCAAAAAAAAAAAAAGAGAGAGAGAGAGAGAAATGCTTCTGGAAAAAAAGAGATCTTATATTCAAAGGAACTAATTTGGGAAGTCTCATCACAAGAATATGAAAAAAGAAAACTTTTTGGGATTTTTGACCTGAAACTAAATGGGAAATCCTAAAATCATTAAGCTAGAGGTCACCCTGATGAGAGATTATCCAGTGCAATGTTTTTCAAACTGGGGTATCATAGAGGTGACTGAGAGAGTTGACCTGAGTTCAGAGGCCCTCAAGAGTTGACATGAGGACAGATTGATAAGACTCAGAGCCATCCACCTCTACTATAAAGGATTAGCTCGATTGTGTCTGCTAGACCAATTGGAGTTTCATGTAATTTTTTTTACAAATTTTAATGAGAATTGACTTAACTCATTTTGCCATTTCCAGAAAGTGCTGTGGTAACCTCTACTTGAATAGGTTTATTCATTCTGTGAGCATTTATTGAGAACCAACTATTGCCAACATGCTAGACTCTGCGTTTACAGAAAAGAGTAAGACAAGGACCCCACTGTCTGGGAACTCACAGTCTACAAAGGAGAAGAGCAGAGGAGCAGAGAGAGTACTATCTGATAAATGCTTTAATAGCATCACGTACAGGGGGACATGTGAGCATGCAAGGGAGGGTTCCTGAATATGAGTGGATGTTTTTCAGGTAGAAGGGGTAGGAAAGTCATACCAGTTAGAGGGGAAGCCCATTAGAAGCATGGAGTTACAAGGTGTTGGTTCCCAGTCCTATCAGACCCAATATAACAAATATTTTATAAAGCCCCTTTTGTTATTGTTAAGTAAAAGTCATAAATAGCATAGCCTTTTTATATACATAATTTCATAAATATAATATATAATGCTTGCCCTTAATATAAAGAAGAAATAAAAGAAATGTGTTCATAATAAAATACTAGTTGAATATATAAATGCTCCAGGCATATCTACGTTAAATGATATAATGAAATTATCAGATGTTTGTACCTAGTTTTATAATGAGGAAGTCCATATTTGAGCAATAAACTCAATAGTAAGTTGAATATTAGTTTATTTTATATTTCCATTTTAATATAAGGATTGAATATATATGTATGTGCTTACATGGGTATGCATCTGTATGATGCATACAGGTAGACATACATACAGGTAGATACGTATACATACACATATATTAATATTTACACACACCTAGAAATCTCATGACTGCAGACTGACATAGCCATGCTGTATACACAAGTATACAATACCACAGGACTTGCTGCCACTGAAGATATAATTTTCTGCAACAGTAAACAATTCTTAGTGAAGGTCCAAACTAAACAAGTCAATTCTCTCTCAGTCTACAAGGTAGTTAAATTCCTGGATATTTTAATGAATACTAAAACGTGCAAAACTGAACATCTGTTTATATGTAAAATCCAGCATTGAAGCT